AATTGGCCCACAAAGTCCGTTCTAGAGGCAGTTCATTCAAATCCTACTTGCTGATATTGATGATGACCAAATCCAACCCGTACAAGTCATACAACAGTGCCAGTGCTTGCAGAGCCGTCGCTATTCGTACTAAACACCACAACTTGAAATACCGCAGTGTTCTATGGTGATACACGCAAAATGCACCTCAATCACAATGAAATCGTCCCATTTTCTAGATTTTGTCTGCGGAGATGAAAGTGGTCACGGTCCGAACACGATGTACCATCGTAAACCCCATTGAAATTCGAATTATCTCCAAACAGTCATGTTGTCGACTTAGTGGGACTACAGCTACGGCGTTGGGTATTTGCAGCTGCTTCCAAAGCACCGACAGTAACAAAGATTTAACTTAGAAACTCGTTGGGTTATTTGCGAGGCTTGGGTGACGTTCAGGAAATCGAGATCACGCTCCAAGCCCAACGAACCATCTCAAATCGCAACGGATGCTGTGAAGAACCCCAGCCAAGGCGTTTTGAATTTCCAGATGCTCCCGACGAACTTGTTGGCGATCAGCACGCCTGTGCGAGATGTGTTGAAAAGTGATTTAATCCAGTGTGGAAGGGTAGTGCCTGGATGAGTCATTTCTACGGCTGTGATTGGTGGGTCATTTGTACCTTAGGAAAACGTACCGGTGTATTCTCCCTTCCCGCCCTCCCGACGCTGCCGAAACCACTCCCAAGACCGCGTGCTCCCCTCTGCGTGGGTGGCCGCGTACCCCAACACGAACTTTCTCACGCTTTCCGCCCGGCTACCACCATCGGTCGGGCATAAAGTGAGCCTCCCCCTTTCTCCCCTTCACTCTCTGCGGACGTTGCTAAGGGCAATCACTACACTGTATGGAACTCTTCCAGCCCAACGCGATGCCATCCTAACAACCACTTAGACGTATCGTTCTGTTCATGCTTTCCACAGACCTTACCAACGTCTCGACCTCAAAATCGAAGCTGTTAGCCAAAAAAACTGAAAGATCAGAGTCACTTGTCAAAATACCGGCCCATTTCGACCAGGTTGGATCCACTGATAAAGCGATAGTGATGTCTGCTCGTGTGATTTGATAGTCACTAGCTCGCCGTAGGGAGCACTTGTGATTGCTCAAAAAATTACAGCTACATTTGAGAGAGTGCAAGACGGAATTAACGCGGTTAATTCGAAAAGGAATCCGGATTGAGGCTGCAAGAGCCCTGATTAATAATAGTCTGCTCTGACGTCTAATTTTCACTACTTTTGACTCCTAACAGCAACCTCCCGTTCGCCACAATCGGCATTCACAACAGCGCTCTCTTTGAGGGTTCAACCCCGGTGTTGAAGTCATCGACGCGGCAAATCTGTACTATCAATCGAAGAGTCGCAGTTACCGAGTGGCATAGAAATGGTCCACCGATTCGGTGAAAGGGGGTTTGAAAGTGCTTTTGAAAGAACATGCGCTTACCCATTGTCACGCAGTCGTCAGGGAATTATCTAGAATTCGTTCTTTCTTGGAAAAGTTTTGACGTGGTAGTGCGCTGACACTTCAAAAAGTGCCAAGTACTTTAACGAAAGGGCAGACGACGACTCCGGTCCACCTCCAGGCCAGCATCTATGCCGACACCTTTTCAGGAGTCTCACCAATAATTCGGCGGCTCCGACGTGACTTGCACCAGTAAACGACCATCAAATCCGTGGTGGTGGTGGCGGCTGTATCAGGGAATCTCAGGAGTACTAAAAGCCGCTACCAAGTCGACTCCTTACTTTGACCAACTTCTCACATACTTTTTTCCCAATATAAGCAATTTGATTTTATTCGAATTGCACAAAAAGTGAGAAGCAACATCTGTCGCTTGAGGTTAGTTTTTCTGGGCATTGAACGGGCCTAAAATGGTGCACCACCGGTCCTCAGTTAGTTTTTTCCTCCGACTAACTAATGCTTCTAGTCAGTTTTATACTTTATTTAAAAGTAGCACATCTGAGGTTTTTTATTGGAAATAATTTCAAAGTGAAGCAATATTCCTGAAAAGGACAATTTGAGAGAAATAAAAAAAGGGTTTTATGGCAATTAGTTAGAAACGGCACCGGGGAACGTTTTGAAGCTTCCTCACGCAACTTCCAGACGCACATCTTCAGTTTTATGAGAATTCGGATAAAATTTTACACGAGCAAATGTGAAGAAGACGACTGTAAAAGCAAACTCGGAGGGTAGAACTGGCCCCTCATGAAACCACTTCGCCCAAAAACTTGACTTTTGGAAAACGCTGAGTCTAGTACACCGTTACACGCTCTTTTCTGTGGTTTAAGTGTGATTTTGCGCTGAAAAATGAAGGGAATTGATAACACGGTTAACCTTTGACCCCGAAACGCTACTACATGTGTTGAAATGACCTTTCACAACTGCCTTGCTACGATAACTGACCTAACATTTTGACTAGGCGACATCGGGCATATTCCGAGCTGAACACTTGTTGGCAGCACTAGAAATGACACAAAAATTTAGACATTACAAGTTTCTACACTAGGTGTGACAAACGTGTGATCACATCATTTGATTTCAACCAATAGGCGCACGTTTATTTAGCCGAACTTGAACGGAGAATGGGAATTGTGGTTTTGTAACTGTACCCACTGCAACGACAAAATTTTTGCAAATGATCACCACAAAAGGCCTTTGGCACCGAAAGCATTCATCACTGGGGGTTTTACACCCGCAAAAAAAGACCATCAGCGCGGAGAAACGGTGAGTGGACACGCAGATAATTAGTGACAACTCTTGGCTGTGCTGAGAAAAATTGGATGTGACCCAACGAAACACATTCCCTGTTTGACCTTGGCAACGATGATGTATTTCGGTGCATTTAAACGGGGAACGGTAAGAGCAGGTCAGGCAATGAAGAATGGTAACATTTCGACAGGTAAATTGGATGTTTGAACTTAAATTGTGTGCTAGTTACAACGAGAGACGATGGAACAACGACGCCTTAGACGACAAGGAAATGCCGAGTGGTCAATTGGCACGAGGTTTACGCTCAAAAGTGTCAATCATCCACACCAGACTAACTCTTGCGTTCAAACATGGTTCGTGTTGAACACAAAAATCGATTTTTAGGCCTCAATTTGGGAAACCTTCGCAGCCACAGGTGGAAGGCTTCAAGCTAGCAGCCCGAGATTCATCTTGACGGGTTCCACATCAACTCCTGTGAATAAACTATGGGAAAGAATGCAGAGGGGGTTGTTGAAGGGACCTCCACAAAGTAGGGTTGTGGAAGTTCAAATTCGATCAGAGAAGTAAGATTGACGGGCACAGGGAGCGTGAACGCGATGTTTTTTTCTGGGGGATAGAACGCCTTTTTTGCGCAAGTACTAAACCCAGAACCAAAGTTGGCACGACCTCCTATCGCCGAGGGAGATCGCCACCACCGGTCAGAGCACGGAAAGGGTGAAAAGTAAAGCATTCGAGGACCTATACGCCAGTCACTTGTTATCAGATCAGAGAGAGAGAGAGTGAGAGGAGATGCAATCTCCGGGAACTGAGAATAAAAACAGGATGCATTGTAACTGCGTCTAGAGGTAAGCACTCGGTTCTGTTAGGGTGAATTGGACCAGAAACGACACCAACTGATGGGATCGATGTGCGGTTGACTCTGCACAGCCTTAAAGCAGAGTGAGAAAGGGTTAGTTATCCTCACGTTTTTGGCGGCAGAGGTGACTGTCGATGTGCTTCCGTTAAGCATCGACGGTCACAGTGATGAGGCAATCACAGCGGACCCTATCTGAACCGGAAATGACGTCACAGCGTCCGGCGAATCATCCATAGATGTCATGACAACAACAAAGAGCAATCTTTCGACTTGGATAGCATTGACACCATTCAGTCTGGAAAAATATTGAGCAACAAGTGTTTTTTTATCGTTTCAAGTAATTGACCCAACTACAGCACCTCAACTTATGTAGCCAATAAGTCTGCTGCACTGTATGATAATTTTCCCTCTCGATTAATCAATCGGATTAAGACATGTCACTCGGTCATTGGTTGAGACAGAGAAGGAGGCCACTAAACAATGGCGGTGGGGATTGCGTTTCGATACGCGGAGCTTGAGGTCTTGGTAACTGGCAAGGCGCAACCAACGCACCGATTTTACGAATCGGTTTCGTAAATAACAAACGAGCAAATGTCCAGTGTATGTGGCAGCAAGGCTAGCAAACAAGAAGAGTGAAAATGACACGGGCCAATTCGTACAGAATGGCGCCACAACCTCGTAAGTTGCAACTGAGTCCTACTTCTTTTTGCAAAATTCGACGACACGACACAGAAATACGAAGAAATCGTGCGTTTTGAGTGTTTTTATGCAGCGTTCGACATTAGGAAAAATGAAATTTGTCCGAATTGTCACCCAAAACTATTTTATTAAACAAATCGACTAGAATGGGCAACCTTGGACAAAATTCAGAGAGGTTAATTTGTTGAAGAAGGAGTAGAGAAAAGCTTTTTATGGAGGCAAGAAGAAGCTACCCAAATGTGATTGACTTTTTAAAAGACACTGCACTGTATAAACGTAGTGCCTTTGAGGAGTAGATGAAAGGTGATAATTGTCACATTAGAGGAAATGCGAGAATGGGAAAAATCTTCATTTTTAAAAAAATGGCAAACACGAGTGTAGTTGACGGAAATGCAGCAATTACACCATCGCGCATACTCATCGACATCAAGGTCGCGAAGGGACGAGTTCTAGGTTTGGAGAGGTCAGGGTGATTGGAGGAGAATTCGAAAATACTCAGTTGAGATCCTTCGCATCTCCACAATGGGGAGAAATTTATTGTTATTATCCGTGCTTTCGCGTCTTTCGGCAGCGACTCGTGTTTGTTCAACGACATGGGTTCGAGTCTCACATCGGGGTTCCTGACAAATTACGCCTCGTACGAGAACAAGAACACAGGCGAGAGAGGCTAAGACGTTTATTCGACAGCGACGGTAGCTGTGTCGCAACTCCAATGCTCGTGGGCATATTTAAATGCCTGTGGCATCGAGGATCAATAAGAATTTCAGGTACAGGGTTAAGTGACGAAGTACATGGACTGAAGCTCCGTGAGAATTAGCGGTTTCACCCAATGAGGCGCAAGAGATTTGTAATTTTGAGTAAACACGACATCTGAGAGAAGCGGTGAGTGGAGCTGAGGCGAGGGAGTGGGTAGGGAAAAAGCTAGGTGCGCAGCAGCCGAAACGTCGGTGTGTGCGTTGATTGATGATGGATTATTAAGTACAAGACGCTATTTGCGACAACACGTCCACCGCCACCTCACACGCACGCAAGCACGTACACTTCCCGACAGGATACAATTTGGACCGACACGGAAATCACACACACACACAAACGGCCTTTCCAAAGTTGTTAGAAATTGTTGAATCGGTGTAACACTTTTTGACCGAGGGGCGGTGAAAAAATGTGCCTCCGGGCTGCGTTTGCAACACTTTGAGAAACGATTTTGAACAAGACAACTGCAAGTTGGGCCAAAGGTCGTGCAATAACGCCACAGTGTAGAGCCTTCAATCAGAACTTGGCTACCGAAAAGGGAGTTTTAGTTACACAAAAGTGACGATATCATTGCAACGCTCTCAACGTAGACAAGTGCCCTTGCGGTATTTTAATCAGGACCTGTCTCTTACAAGGCACTTTGATTTGGACGATACGGTGAATGCGACGATGCATCCACACGAGGCAGACGTCTGGCATCGTCGGCTGCCTCGGACTCAACAAGTACACCTTGAGAGGACACCAAGGACTGATCTCAAACATGGACGTCTCCGACACGAACCGAAAAAATACGTTTTAATTAGCCCTCATAAAAGTAGCTGAAATAGGTTTGACTAAATGTGCGGGCGTTACCTTCTTCGGTGGGCTATCTTCATAAACTAGTGAAACGTGCGCTATTACAAGTTACGCCTGAGTGCCGCTTTCTTAACCAATAGCAACTAAGGGTGATTGTGACGCCGCTACGAGGTGATCAAGCAGGAATGCACAGAAAAAGTCAAAATGTCACGACGATCCGCTCGTTGCAAGAGGTGTCGGATTTTCGTACACACACGCGCGCGCACACAAACTAAACAAATTGGGAATATTTGTAATCCCACGCACCTGAGCCCGCTTTCTCGACTACAATAATAAACTGACTGACTACCTGGGGGTTCCTTTTGCCCACCGACTACCACGGACTTTGTTTTCGAGTTCCGTAGATGTCAATGGACAGTGGAATAGTGAGGCAGACGAGGCGACACTCAGGTCCCACTTGACTCGAACCAGTGGACACCCAGTTACAACAAAACTTTGACCCGTAACCCCGAAAATTGACTCGCCTCAGTGTCATTACCTACTCAGAGGCCAAATTTTTCTGGGAATGAATTTGATTCTGACTGGGACAGGTATTACTAAGTTGCATGGATCGATAAGAACCTGGGTTTTGACAATACATCTTGTGGAGACTAAAATGGGGCCAGTTGAATTAGATTTTTTGGTCAAACAACGAGGAACGCGAACAGGGGTGGTCGGTTAGCCGCGCGATTCTCTAAACCCATAACCGGCATATTACATGAATGTAGGCGCCATCAAAGCCTACATGAGGGTGGGATTTGGGAAATCTGGTTTCACAATCTAACTACCATCCAGCGCCCCGATACTACAAGGTACGGCTCTACACCAATTGCACAAAATTCAAGTTACACTCAAACAACTGCTTTTGCCGGTTGATAGAATGTGGCGTATGACGTTGAGCTGTCGTCAACAAACTTCGCCGTGACGATTCGAAGAAGGCTTGGAAACCGCTTCCTGACTACGAAAAATTGAAATTGTACAAACTACCTCTCCACGCTGAGTGTTGGAAATGAAACCACTGCAAGATTGGGAAGTGATTAGGGTTAGTTACAGCTCAAAAAAACCATGTTTGATGTGATTGAAATGAAAAGAGTGAACTATTTTTCTCGAGTAAAAGCTGTGATTGGTTGGAAGGAGGCATAAAGCGACGGGCTCGTTTGGTGCCAAAGACAATGCAGCTAAGTAACCGAAGTTGCGAGAATAAAAGGCGTGCAATTAAGGCCAATTAGATCCCAAAACACAATTATTTGACCAAGAAGGAGACGAAAAGCAATTATACGCCCACACACACATTCACGCATAAAAAAGTATTGTGTGTAGAGTGTGACATTCATGACGAGTGGGCTAGGGAGGTTCCATTGTTGCCCAATGAAGTGAAAGTATGTACGATTATCGATTAATTCGAGGTGGGTGTAAATTAGTGCATCGTTAATTGGGATTGTGTCATTGTTCGATCACCCAGCCCCCTGATCTCAGTTCAAGGTCACCCACTCCGACTACGCCAGCGAATCTTTGAACACAGAGTCAAGACACAATCAAACGCACCAACACTACACGGGGTGGCATGCGGAAGAAAAAGTGATCTAGGAAGAAACGCCTACAGCTCCACGCAATCGAACGGACTTCACCCATTCACGGCATCCCAGTAAAAGGTCCACCTGTGTTACTGCCTCTTGATCTCTCAGGTGAAGGTCAAGGTCACGCATGACTTGTAAAGGCTGGGGCTTGCGACGGACAGGGAATTTCGAGTAAAACCGCGACACTTACCCGATTCATGCGATCGACTGATGCGGCGTGCGTCCAGAAGCAGTCGTGCACCGACGCGAACATGACGCCCTCACGCAGACAATGCAGAGCCGTCAGCATCATGTGGCAGGAGTCGAGGGAGTGGATGAAGTTCGGCGGGAAGGCGTTCTTCTGTTTGATTGGGTTGGGCGGCGGGAGACCGACGAGGGAGTCCTTAGCGCCGACGCTGCGACTGCGCGCCAGCTCATAGCGCTCGGCAAGGTTGGCGGCCTTGGTGAGCACGCTGAGGTCGAGGGGCACCGGTTTGTGCAGCGACTCGCCCGACCAGAGGTGCGCGTCCAGATCGGGACAGGCGGGCTGTCTGACGTAGGGCTGGATGACCGGTAGGCCTAGCGGAGTCACCCAACTGATGCGGCAACCGTGCGTGCGGGTGATGTGTTTGGCAAGCTAAAACACACACCAAAAGGAGGGGTGAACGAGGAGAAGGAGGAGAAGAGCTAGGAGCGAAACTACTCACAGCCGGTTCGCCGAACCTCCCAAAAGCGTGGGTATCACCACAACACACTAACACACATTTGCTTTCTGTGATGAGGGAAAAACCAAGTTTGCTCACAGAAACACACGATTTTGGATTTGTTTTTTGTTTTCCCTTGGAGAAGTGAACGCAGCCCGAGAGAGGAGGGGGCAAAAAAATGTGTATTCAGAACGCACAAAACACTCAACAACGTTTCTGCGTGGGTGCGTGCACTAGCAATTATTCCAACAATTAAATATTATTGCCCGGCGCTGGATGCATTCCGCCAATTAAAAGCAGACGCTGCGGAAAGTTAATTTAAGTGTTTTTGTTTGGCGGAAAGAACTGGGAAAGGCAGTGGCTGCGAATGCCGTGTAAACTGAATGTGATTTCGGCAGATAAGTGCTCAGAGCCTTTGAAGGCTAGCGAGGAAACTTAACTAGTGCGTGAAAATGAACTGAAGCACTGAAGAAGTTAATCTGTGTTCAGGCCTCAAGCAATATCAATCAGCTGGTCAAATTGACCCAGGCGTCACCCACACACGAGCTCTCGTGTCAATTTCTTGGGAAACCACAATTGCGGTCAAGGCGAGCGCATCTGGTCGTGTTACTCGAACTTCGGCCGAGGCAGCAACTCGTCAGGTGAAGTAATAACTGAAACTAGATCATATCGACCACCTTCAACCCATTGGCCCAGCGCAAACTTTAAGTGTGCTGTCGACTTTATTAGCCATCAAGGTCGCACAGATCGTTTGCAATTGGTGCATTCGACATGCCAACTCTGAGACAGTAAAGGCTTTCTCTCTGCGACAGGAAGGTAAGACCCTTCATCAATCGTCTAAAATTGCACAAAAACGGTCCCGTCACAAATTCACAATCCATACAAGTGCCAAACCAGACAAAATTCCAACTGGATCACCTACGACACCACGAAAACAGCTGATTTTGGAGATGACGTGCCGTGGTGAGGTTAACGAAAGAACGGAGAGCAGCAGACAAATTTGGACCAAGGTTAACGACCATTTCGAGGACTTGGCGAACACAAAGACAAGGTTTTCACAAGATAGACTAGGGCCTTTATGAGGGCGCGCGAGGGAAAAGCGGATTGATGGCAAAAAGAGGTGTAGGGAAGCACAAATGGACCGTTCAGATTGTCGAACAAAGGTATATCGCCAGAAACACCTAGCACATGCTCGCGCGGGGGAACAAACACACACACAAATAAAGAGAAGCGAGGAACATTACGAGCGATCTTCCATCCACCGCAACTCCCATCGCCATACATCATAATCAACAACAACCACTACCGCCACTACTTAGCCGAGCTGACTGCACATGGCAGAGCGTGTTATTAATCATAATTAGGAAGAAGAGGAGGAAGAAGGTTGCTGTCACGGTAGTGGGCAAACACGTGTCCACTCGTCACCCAAGGGAGTCTTGGTGCTCGCTTAGTCCATTGTGTAGCGCGGAGGGGTTGGGTGTTGGCAAAACGCCAGTTGAGAACTCACACAATGGCAGATGGAAATGCTTTCAGATAGGTAATTATGGACATTACAGGATGTAGAACCATGATTACGTCTGAATATCAACAATACACGGGTAGATTGGTTTCTCTTGGCGTTGATGAAAAATGCGATCAAGTAGGACGGTCAGAAAGGTGGCGTCGTGTGAAGGAATGCGAGATTGGAAGGTAGTTTCGGGATGTGGGATTGCAAACACATGCAACAGCTGGAACAGACGATCTTCGACCCCAACACGTTTCCATCTGCCTCATCTTGCACACAATGAACCCGCTGAACTGTTGTGAACGTCATGAGCATTTTCGAAATTACACTCAAATCCTGTTTTTTAAGCGAAATTGTCAACTCAAGTTGTACAATCCTTCATGCTGAACCACGTAAACACGCTCAACTTCTCTTGGATTGGCCATCCCTTTTTCCTCTTTCTCTCTGCTCACCTCTAATTTTGTGCCCGAACAGTCAACCAACCGCAAACACGCGTTTTCGACTGAGCCAAATTACCATGAACGCTGGTTGTAGTGCTTCGATCGCCCCATTTGCTGTAGTTACGAGTTTTAAGTCAAATCGTTGACACGAACCTGTCTTGGCCCCAGAATGTCGCAATCTGTAAAACAGTGAATGAACAAAAGCAGTGCATTCCACGCGCCACTCTCCTCTCGCTGCCTCTTTCCGAAGTCAGTGGTTTCGGAAGTTAGCTAGCGACTCTCCAGATCTACTCGAAGATCTCAACCAACTCGCAAAACCGTCTACGAGGCCGCAATACGCAGTCCGCATTATTCGTTAAATTGCCTAACGCGGAACAATGTCTAAAATTGTGACGCCTGACTGCCCGATTCAGAGTGAAGTGTGGGTTTATCAGTCACTTGGTTATGCAGTTTGGGGGCTAGAAGGTGAAGGCTGCGTTGTGCTCGACCCCCGGTCGGCTAAATACCGCAAGTGTTTACGCTATCCATTGCCACATTGACCCACTTCAAGTGCCGTGTGAATGGCGCGGTTTTCGGAGGGGGCGGTGGAGGTCATTAATGACTTTTGTTAAAAAAAAATGAGAAGGACGGAGCCCGCAGAAGACGACAAGGCGAATATGGGACCGCTCGATTTTGCAGGCGAGTTGTAAAAAGGTCCAAATTCACCTACACAGAAGCGCTAGACGGTACAGAAAACCGGCTAGGCTTTGCACATTGATAGTAAAGGCGAAAAGATCAGGGCGGCGATCTTCAAAATACCACTGCTCTACTTAATCTCAGGAAGTCACATAAGAACGGAACAAATAAGTCAGCTTAAGGTCAAGGGGTGACTCTGCAAGTGATTTTCGTCCATTGCTGGGGTATTTGCCCTGGTCTTGTGGACAGCGCGCTGTTAAAATACGGGATTTAGCCAGAACACTCACTTGTCAATCTGTGAGCTGAATCTACGCCGATTCGGGAGAATTAGAGGCACAAGGACATAGCAAATAAGCACAATCATTCCAAATTGGACAGCGGAGCGGTCTAAATTGGACTATTTTTCCTAGATCAATTCAATTTTCGCCAGAAGACTAAATCTGTCTACAAGTTGAGATATCCTAACGGGGCATGTGATCACATAGATTGGAATGTCGGAAGTCAATTTGACGGTACAGAAAGAGCCACTTAACCAAGAACGGCTCTATCTACGTGGTTAAAAAACGAAAAAAACTGTACATTGAAACCAATAAAATCACGTTTGAATGCTCCACCACGCAATATGCAACTGCGCCACTACACTTTTAAATTATAAAATTTCACAAGTAATAGTGATATGCTACATGTGATTCACGACACACTACGGTATTTGCAGGGTTCTAGGAGATACCTCCTACCAAATTCAGAACGTGTCAATTGGTGTGCCGTTTGTCCTGCAAGGATGGAAATTTACCAAACTCTGAGAATGAATGAATCGAGCCAACAGGCCATAGTGAAAAGCACACGGCGAGTACCTCGGTGGAGGAATGGACGATGGTGTCCAAGGACTCACCTTGCCGAACCACGCCTGAGTTGCGCTGGAGGAGGTGAAGATCGCACCGATGCTGGCCAGGGTGATTCGCGCGAGGTAGGCGGAGGCGGGCACAAGCCACTGCTCGGGCGAAGGGAAGGTGGGCAAGTCGCGCAGCTGGCGGCGTATCTGGGCCATCGCGCCGTACAGCGTGACACCGTAGACCGTGGTCATCACGGACTGCTTGATGACCTTGCGCTGGACGAATCCCTCCAGCACCTGAGCCACGGCGACCCCGGCCGCTGCGTCGACTTTCCTCTGGGCCTCGACCTTCAAGACAGCAAGTGCGGGAAGGTGACGTGGAACCATCAAACGCCTAGTGCTTCCTCCAGATCCCATCACATTAGGAAATCAACCGTGGAAGGTGATCTAATCTACGAGTTCGATGAAGATCGATCCACTTACCACCTCGGTGACATCGGAGTACACGTCCCGCGGACGTTCGCAGTCCTCAAGACTGACGGACGCGGCGCCGCGTTCATCGCGTCCCATGGCCGCGTAGTGCTGCAGACCGTTGCACGAGCCATCCTGATGCACCGGGTAGTGATTCACGAAGGTGGACGGTCCGCCTGCGTGGCGCAGAGCTGCGACGAGCTCCCGACAACACGCGAGGGTCTGCCAGGGCTCCTCTTGCTCCCTCCACCAACCCCGACCCTGCAACAAGAAAGGGGTGCTCCGCTTACTCGCACCTGTCACGAGTGTGTCCGGCTGGCAGCGCAACATTCTACGCTGTGGGTTTACGATGAGCCAGCCAGACACATCACAATGGGTAGATTTCAGGAAACTACATGGAGGAAGAATTACTCGATTTATTGCCCAAAGATGTGTGCTTGGGCGCACGTGAATCGACAAAATGATGGCGGACCGCTGATTATTGATGAAAGGAGGCGGTACGAGGACACGTGAGGCAGACTCGGAGCCTTCGGGATTCGGTTTTTACGTCCTCTTAATCAATGTGGATGCAAGAATTGACAAACCTGGACTCGCGCGGCACACTTCATCAACACCCGTTCTTGGGTAAATGTCACCGTCGGTACGTGGTCGCTCAGGTGCAAAATGGCGCGGCCACAACAAACGACAACGTAGTACACGCGAAATTTCCCTACGCAGAACGGACCAACGCCACCGCATTCCACCGCTGCCAGGGATAAATCTTTTTTTCCTCAAAATACCGATTTCTTTCTGCAAACACACACACACATCCCGAATGGTCTGTTCGACTTACCGCGGGCAAAAAAAAACGAACTACGGCTTCCCTTTACCCGAAAATTCACACGCGCGGCACGAAATTCACCCCATTTTTTCCCACCACTGCAACAGACAACGGGGAATCGCACCAACCTCTCACGCCTCGGCGAAATTTGTGTGTGTGTGCGTGTGCGTTAAAGTGCACGAACCTCGTCTTCATGAGGTGTTAATTCATGTTCATCACCTACGTCACTACGTGTGTGTGTGGACACCCTAGGTACGCGTTTGTCCGAAGTTTGCTGGTCAGCTCCTGTTGTAACAATAAATTACTATCACACCGTGTCGTGGGCCGCTAGCATTAGAACACAATTAGCCCCAACAAACAGACGCGTTAGAGGAAAGATAAATCAGTATTTTTCAAGACTCGAAATTAGTTTTAAGTAGAAAAATCCTTTCCGAGAATCACACTGTTTCGAAAAAAAACTGCCGACTAAAATGTTCACCATTTCGGTGGTAGGGAATCGAAGCGATTGTGTGAATAATTGAAATGACGCAAAATAGCCATCCAACGACTATTTTAGGCGTCTACTGATGAAATATCACCGCAAAACGACACACTGGCAAAGCGGACGACCATAGCCAATAGGAAGTAGCGTTTTGCGCTGGGATTTAGACGCACGATTTCACCGACAACGTGAAAATGGACTGGCGCCGGAGACGCAATGAATGATTTACGGAAACAGGGGTACCAGAGGTGAGAGAGAGTAGGGCAGAGCAGGGCGACGCACGCACGAATGTGTCGGTTTGCCAAGGCGCGTGATGCCCACGTCCGCCGCCACATTTCAGACTGTGCTTAAACGGAAGCAGAAGAGTCTGCCACGCTGACTTAGAGACGCCCAAATGCCTGTGGCAGGTGACGCGAAGCTAAGTGATTCAAAATACATCACATTTAATACGAATAGGCATTTAGTAACCAACTGCATCCGAATGAACCACAAACACTATTTCAAATCGACCGCCTTCAGCTCATTGGCCCAGCACCCACTTTAAATGTGCCCTCAATTGTATTGGCTATCAAGGTCGGTCCTTTGTCTCAAAAAGTAAAGGGCTCTATCGACACGAGATCCCAAACACGATCCTGTCACAATTTTACTCAAACTGCTTCATCTACGCCACCACGAAGACAGGTGGCAGGGGAAATGGCGGGCTAACGACCGTCCCAAGAACACGAAGAACACGGATACAGTCTGTCATAAGAATAAGCGCACCGGCAGTACATGAACTACAACCATTAGCCGTCAGATTGGCCAAGGAATTTATAAGAGAGAGCTGTAGCTTCATGTACCACGAGAAGAAAACAAATTGAACACTTAAAAAGTTTGCATTTTCAGGTAAAATTGTAAAAAAAAACGATGCGGCGGTGTCCGTAACGCCTGTTTTGGTTGCGCATTAGAAATTAACCATGCAAGTAGGCAGTTCCGCGTGCCTCGAAAATGCAACAGGCGCTTCAATTGACGCGGAAATGAATCAACTGGGAAACTGCCAAAACTGCACCAATTCCGAGGTGAGAAAATTGGAGTATTTCGGGAAAACGTGGAAAGAGAATTAGCGCAACACCGTGAGAGCATGAAGTGCAACAAATCAAGGATTAATTTTAACATGGAGAGAAAGTTGGCGGCGGCGTCGTATAATAGACCCACAGAGTCCGTTCTGGGGATTTTTCACTCAAGAACCACACACACATCGAAGGTTCGCTCCCAGTGAGTTTAAGTAACTAACTCAACTGAGAATTGGTCCATACCTTCAAAAGACGGGCTGCATTTGCTTACTGCCGGAATTCCAGTGAAAGCAAGACTGCTAGACTATAGGGGTTGCGAATTAACTCCAGGGCAACACGTGCTTTAGTAAAAGCCTAATCGCAGATTAAAATAACAGATGGGATACAAGGTCCATTTATCACGGCTTCATGGCGTTTTTCACTCGTTTGAAAAGCACTTTTTAATTGTAAAAGAATCCGAAACAAGCAATCATCTTCAGTGGAGGCGACGGCAGGCCGAAGGAAAAAACGGCGCGAAATCGATGTTTTGGAAGGCGAAGCGACTACTGCCAAAACAACGCCTAAAGGGTTGGACGAGAACAGTTCAAGCCTGCTTCAATGGCGATAACTGGTGCAACGGCTTTCGGGGTGGGAGATGGACACGCCTGTCTAACCAAAGGTGACTTTTATGCGGGTATTCATGTTTGCGAGATAAAAAAACCAACGCCCGCGTCACATGGACAGCTGTTTGGACGCGTTGGATGCGCGGACGAGTCCATGAATCAGATGCAGACGTCGCGGATGACAGGGCCTGGGCGCTGGCGGGCTGCGAAAAAAACCCAACAGACACCTCCGCTTCACGCCCTTCCCCCGTCACCGCATTCTACGAGGTCCCGCCTGCCTCGTGTTCCACAAACAGGACCGCCATCGTGAGTCAGCGAGACCCCATCGAAGTCCCAAATCAGCGCCGTGTTTGCCTTCGTGATTTTTTTTGTGCCAGGTGAATTAAAAACGTTATGGGCGATCGACGTGGCTGAGTCTCTTATTTCAAAGAACACGAACTTCACCAAGTTACCAATCAGAAACACGATATGGCCCTTTTTGCGTCCGACAACTCAAGCGGTTTTGAGAAAAGTGGGAAAAAGGGAGGAATTGGCGGCTCCGCGTCTTTCGGAAGTGACGGGGAAAAAAGACGTCGGAATGCATTACTCACCTCGAAGGGTCTGTCGACGGAGTCAAACACCTCCTCCAATTTGCTCTCCGTGTAGGCTTCTCGTTCGTCATTCGAGGACCTACAACGACAAAGCAGTGATCCATAACGACCCGGTTGCGAGGTGAAAAGCGCCATGAGAGATGTGTCCCTCCAATGAGTCAGTGGGGCTTAAATTGAGGAGCCAAATGCAAAAAGAAATTATGATCTAGCGACTTCAAAAGCAGAGGAATGAGACTGGGTTATGTGTTGTCGAGAAGATGAGTTCTAACCCAGCTAAGCAGCCACAGCGTTAGGCAAAACCATAACACAGAGAGGGGATCATTGGGGCTTTGATTTAGCTTGATAGAACTAAAGTCAAAACTAAGTTAGTCATACACAGACGAATTAGAAATAAAGCAGCTTTCCATCTAGAAGGCGTTAAGAAGCAAGCGAATCTTTTGAGGTACAAGTGGGGGGGGGGAACCCCTAATAGCAGGCAGCCAATATTCCACTTTTTGATAAACGCAGCCACGCGGCAACATGGTTGACCAATGACATTTGAATACAGCGAACCAATCACATTTGTAGGACCCGGGTTACTAACTCCCTTCCACAATTACCAAAGAAACGCGATCGATGATTCCCGTTTGGGTGGGAAACATCTTGGCAACTTGAAAGTAGGGGAAAGCGCCATTCACAAGTTTCGACACAAGAAGATATGTAGCCCCTCGATCACATTAATTAAATTGAAAAAGACTCGTGCTTGACTGTGCCAGGCCGAGTCTGTCCAGATCCTGGCATTACGAGACGCCAAACATGCGCCGCGTCCGAGTTTCTGAAGGGGCGAGGGTGCAAAGTTTAGCTGAAATCACATTGCTAATTGAGGGGGTGCGGGCTGAGTCAAGGCGCCAATTAGGGCGCGCCAGTACTTCGGACACGAACTTACCGTTTAACCTTGCCCGTGAGATTGGCCAGGTGAATCTTGAGCCATCGGAGACCGTTGTCGCCGAGCGGAAGGCCTTTGGCGAAGACAATCAACCCGCGCGCCACGTCGCTGCCTGGAGAAGACAAAGCCATCAAGACATGAAGAGTGTGCACAACTCGTCACGTTGTTTTACTGCACTGGATAGTTCGGTGAGCGGCATTTTGAAGTTGTTGGTGCAGTAAGCATTACACAACCTCGCTGACACGCTGTTCATATGCACTGTTAAGTTGTGCTGATGTTTAGACGTTTGTAGAACATTCCGAAGTTTGAAGGCCCGTCGATATGACGTCAACATGAACTAATATCCACGCAAATCAACGGACCTTGTCTTCACAAATGCGCCCAAAAACGAAGCGGTTTTATTTATAAAGCAATGCTACACTTGGAAACGCTTGATTTTGAGGTTTGGAGCGCTTCTTAAAAGTGAACAACAGACTAGTAGCGCATTCGGTGCGTGAACAAAACAACATTGGTTGTGTCTATCCTAAGAACGTCTGAATTTTCGAAATATGCGCGGTAATGCGCGTAAACGGGTGGGACTTGAGTTCGAGTGCCTCAGTGGTCATTCATTGAGTGCAGACGGTTACCATAGTAACAAACATGGTTTTGACGTGACAAGAGAACAATATACCCTCAACGGCTGCGCTGAGGCGACCCTAAAGGAACAAAATCGTCACCACGGGTGCTTCGCTGCCGGAAACTAATCGCCATTGCACCAAGGCCCAATTAACGAATTCTCAGCATGTGGTCTTGAACCACGCCGAGGCCACGGAATTAACCATGGCCCGATTACTCTTCCCTGATACCCGCGATGAAGTAAAAGACCGGAGAGGACGTGGACACAACCGTTTACTTCAGAGCTCAACCACGTTGGTGTCGTTATGTCTTGTGTGGGGGTTGAGCGTGTATTTTTATACCTCAGGTGCGTGAGTCATAGAGGCGCTAACATCAAGACCTTGGTGTGAGGACAATCAAAGATAAATATCCGTGTGAATGAGAGAGTTGAGGACCCGCGTGGCTGGCGACATGCTGCGAAAAGGGGAACCCTGTGTTGGAGGTGGACCGACCGGATTAGGGGGTGTAAATAAACGCAGTTCACAACAGACCAATTAAAGGGTGATAATGATAGCATAAATGACCTTTGACCTCGGCCAATGACGGCCGAGGATTTACTATAACCCAAGAACAGTAATCGAACTAACTGAGAACATTTGCGTTCATAACGCGCACGCCTACACGATACCTTTCGCCCGATATGACTAGTTACGGAATTAGACAAGTCGGCCTTCATTTTAATTGGGGGAAAAAGGCGGGAATGATGACACCGAGAGAACTGGTTACGGAGGCATATCGGACTCGACTCAAAGGCGCCAAGAGTTCGCGTGCAGAGGGCAGGGAATGGGCAACACCGACGCGGCAGGCCATAACTTGTGGGCAATTTGCGCTGAGTTATCAGATAATGTGCGAAAGTGGCATTTGAGGGGGCCAAAAAAGGCAGACGGCCCACGTGCTAGGCTAAATTAAATGCGTCAAGAGGTTTTGTAAAGAGAATGTTGGGGCAATGGCAAAAAAGGCACCACCAAAGCTAGTGTTTTGGTGGTGGTGGTGGTGGTGGTGGTGGTGGTGGTGGTGGTGGTGGTGGTGGTGGTGGTGGTGGTGGTG